GAACATATAGTAAGAAGAAATATATATACAGATAAGTTGGAAGTTACCATACAAACTGTGAGAGGCTAATGAGTTAAGATGAGCTATTATCAGCAGGAGAAAAAAAACTTTTATAGTGATAATCAAGATGGACCATTTAGACAGTTGACAAGAAGGTGTGAGGATACTTAACATGGGGAAATAGATTCAATATGTGTATTGACCCAGCCACTCCCAGTCTCTATTCAAACCCAAGTTAATGGGATCTAGTTTGCATATTAATTCAAGCTCAGCAATTTCTCACTGGAGTCTGTTTTTGAAGCTTTTCTGTTGCAAAATTGCCACCTTTAAATCTGTTACTGAGTGGCCAGAGAGGCTGAAGTGCTCTCCTGCTGGTTTTTGAATGTTATGATTCCTGATGTCAGATTTGTGTCCATTTATTCTTTTAATATGTAAACTAGATCCCATTAACTTTGGTTTGAATAGAGACTGGGAGTGGCTGGGTCAATACACATATTGAATCTATTTCCCCATGTTAAGTATCCTCACACCTTCTCATCAACTGTCTAAATGGTCATCTTGATTATCACTACAAAAGCTTTTTTCTCCTGCTGATAATAGCTCATCTTAACTAATTAGCCTCTCACTGTTTGTATGGTAACTTCCAACTTATCTGTATATATGTATATATCTATATCACTATCTTACTATATGTTCCATTCTATGCATCCGATGAAGTGAGCTGTAGCCAACGAAAGCTTATGCTCTAATAAATTAGTTAGTCTCTAAGGTGCCACAAGTACTCCTTTTCTTTTTGCGGATACAGACTAACATGACTTCTACTCTGAAACCTGTCAAAGTTACCATACAGACCACGGAGCTGAGCGTACGTTCCTCCACCATGGCCTCATAACACCTAGGGCATGTTCTCCCCACTTTGCATCAACATCCCTAGACTAAGGGGGAACTCTGGCTTTTTTGTCTTTGTTTGGAGGAACTTTGTGTTCTCTCTGTGGAGACCGTTTCTGCTCCACACTTGCATTCTAGTTGCTGTCCCTCCATTGGTGGCACTTGGCTACATTGGATCACCCCATTGAGCATAGCAGTGAATCAGGACCATTAACAATACAGACTGTTCAGCCAAATGCTTCTGCTTTAGTGATTCTCCAGTGCTCAGCAAAGAGTCCAGTACCTGACTGGCTACACTATTTCTGGCAGAGCTCAGTCCCATATAGTGTTGTCCCCCTCTGCAGAGAGGTAGCAGGTGTTGGGGCCTTGCGGGTCGGCTCCCCAGTGGAGGAGAAAGCAGTGACATAGGGTCTGGGCAGACTGTACGTGTAACTCATTGTATTTACACACCTTCACCAGTCCTGGAACAGAGGTGGTCACACAGCACGCAGAGAACAGACTTCTCGGACCAAGAAAACTACCTCTCCTCAAACCAAAACGAAAACCAACACAGCAGGTCTTCCCAAGCCTTACATTTGCTTTTACACTAAGGCCATGTCTACACTGAGAGCGTGGTGTGTGATTCCCAGCCCGCGGACACACAATTGCACAAGCTCAGTATAGATAGCAGGGTAGTCACAGTAGCCCGGGTGGCAGTAGCTGTGCAATGGCTTAGTCATGCCAAGTAGATCCCCCCCGGGATTTGGGTGAGGTTGTACTCAGCACGGGTGAGGCATGCCCCTGCTGCTGCTGCCCGTATGACCGCAGCTACACTGCCATTTATATTCACGCCAGCTCTCACTGAGCTCGCAGGAGTATGTGTACGCAAGCTGGGAATCACTCCCCTAGCTCCTAGTGTGGACGTAGCCTGTTTAACTGCGCCCCCTGGTGGCACCTGTCATAACAGCATGTACTGCTGTGGCATCCAAACTGTGCTTACCCAGGGCTCACATTTGAAACTTGCCAGGAGTCTGAGGGGCAAACTAATTTTCATAAAATAGATCAGAGTGAAGCCACTGCCTTAACATGGGCCAGAGAACTTCCCGGAAATAATTCCTGCGTGAACCACAGCAGATCCTTTAGAGAAACATCCAAAATTGATTTTAAAGTTGCCAGTGATGAAGGATCCACCACAACCTTTCATAATTTGTCCCAACTGTTGATTACGCTCACTACTAAGAATGTACACCTTATTGCCCCGTCTAATTCTGTACTCTTAGTCCAGCCAGGCTTGGGGATGCTGAAGAACCGTGGCTGCAGTAACTATTCACAGAAATCTGACATTTCAATTGAGAGTCCTTGGAGAGCGACCGTCTTATTACTGCCCATCTGGGCCGTGCTTGAGTACAGCGGGGATCTGATTCTTGTCAGTCACTCCAAGCTGCTCCTGCAATACAATTGTAACTTCTACCAATATGAGATTGTTTGAAGAGTCTGCTTTAGGCAGCGGTGTGTGGTTTAATTCTTACTGACATCATGCTGTAGCATCCACGTACAGTAAAAGCTGTGTTATCCGGCACTTTACCAACCGGAAAGCTCTAGAAACTGGCATTTCTGATATTGCATAAAAGTCCGGTTGGCGCAGAGCCAGCAGGCTCCCTGCCTGGCTCCGTGTGGCTCCCCGGAAGCGGCGACGTGTCCCTGCTGCTCCTAGGTGAAGGAACAGCCACGGGGGCTCCGTGCACTGCCTCCAACCCACCTCAAGTGCTGGCTCCACGGTTCCCATTGTGAGAACTGCAGCCAATGGGAGCTGCAGGGGCAGCGCCTGTGGGTGGAGGCAACGTGCAGAGCTGCCTGGCTGTGCCTCCGCCTAAGAGCAGCAGGGACATGTTGCCACTTCCCAGGAGCCACCTGAGGTAGGTGCTGCCCGGATCCGGCACCCCGAAACCCCTCCTGCACCCCAACCCCCTGCCCCAAGCCACTTCCCTCCCAGAGTCTGCACCCCCCACCCCATCCCATGCCCCAACGCCCAGCCCTGAGTCCTCTCCCACAACCAAACTCCCACCCTCCGTATAACTCTTAATTCACTGGAATTTTTGACTAGCCAGCCCCCCTATTCCCCCAACATGCTAGATAACACAGCTGTTACTGTACTTTGGTGAGCTCAGCACTGATACTTTATCATTCGGTCAGGGAGGAGCAGACCGAAGCACTGTCAGGATTGGCCCCACTGTGCGAGGGGCACAAAGCCAACTCCAGGAGAGTCCCGACCCCCAAAAGTTCACTGAATACAGGATACCAGTGGGTGTAACCAACATTAGGCACAAATGCAGTCAGGAGGACAGGCACACAGTGACAGGGAAAGGGGCTGCGGGCATACAGTCCTTTGCGTTTTCATTGTATTTCAATAAACCAAAGCTATCAAAGTAAATAACTCACTTCTCTGACTCCTACAAAGCTGATGGTTGGGTTCTCAGCCAGTCCATGAGAATTAACAGTGCCTTAGAAACTAACAAAAATAAGGGGGAGAAGTAAAATGAATGATTTCATTAAAGGCAATTTGAAAGAGGAGCTCTAAGCCAGTGTCCAGCGATGGGTTCAATGCAGAAGGCACAGGGTAGAATTCTCTGGCCCAGGTTCTGCAGCACATCAGACTAGATTGTCACAATGGCCCCTTCTGGCTTTTAAATCTCCGACTCTCCGTCAGAGCTTTCATAGCACCTCTTGGGGCCCCGCTCTCATGGCCCTTCCTTTCCCTGTCCAGCGTGTCACTGGAATTGTCAGATTAACAGCGATCAAAGTGTCAAATTCCTAGAATCCCGCTAGTGACTAATCCAGGCGTCTCAGCCATATGGGGCTTGTAATATAGCATGTCTCTGTCAATACTGCATTCCTGTACAGGAGAAGCGAAGGGTGGAGGTGGGGAAAGGCTGGCCAGGTCACAGGCCAGGGTGGTGGGAGAGGGGCCATGGTGAGGGGGAAGGGTCAGGCCTGGGCGGGTTAGGGGCCATGATCGCAGGGGAGGATTGGGGGTGGCTGGGTTAGAGGCCATGGCAGTGGGGGAGGGCCAGGGCTGGCCTTTGTCCCAGCCCCCTGCCAGCCCGAGCAGCCTGCAACGCTCTGGGAGCCCTCCTCTCAAGCTGGGGGAAGGGGTCCTCCTCTCCCATGTGCTATGCAGCCTCGGCTCTAGCCTGAGAGCTGCAGCTGCCTGTTCACCACGTGCACCCCCTCCCCAGGAGGGGGGAATGGCTGTTGTGTCTGCAGAGTACCAGGTGCACCTGCCTAGCCTGCAGCTTCCCACTGCCCTTGTGGAACTGAACTCAGCCAATCCTCTCCATCCCTTCCGGGTAGCAGCATTGCACCAGCTCCCCTCTAGACAGAGGACCTTGAGAGGAGGGGCAGGCCTGACCCCCCAGCCACTCTGATACAGCCTGTCAGCTGAGCCCTGGGGCAGGTCAGTGGACACTTTGTAGACCTCTCCCCTAAACCCTTTGAAACATCCTCCCGAAGAGGAGCAGGCATCTGGGTCTGGGCTTGACCCGCCGTACCGCTGCCAGTGCCCCTTGAAAGGGAAGGTGTCCTCCATGGTGTTATTGGCAGTGCACGTACCACAATCTCCGAGCAGAGCCAGAGAAGGAGCCACAGTCTCATTCCCAACAAGAGCTGCAGCTCGCTATTGACCTCCCCCCCCCCCCCGGCCCCAGTTAACGGGGGGTGAATTGAAATGCTGGATGCAGGTAGCAGGTAAGCTCCAGGGCTGAGCACCTCACAGGCCCACAGAGGTCTGGAAGCTGCTGTGGTGCTACTAAGTCCTTCCCAGAGGCAGCCTGCCCCTCTGGGGTGGGCTCCGGAGGAGACACACAGGCCATCTCAAGAACACCTGCGCCGGGGAGTGTCCCTGCTGCGGGGCGGTGCAGTGACGGTGCTGGAGCCCACTGCATAAAGAGCCTTTTGTTTTGCCAAGTTGTTAAGCCCCATTGACAATGGCAGCCCCCTCCGGCTCATGCACTTGGCACTGCCTCGGCCCGCACACTGGCCCTTTTCTCTTGGGCTGCATGTGGGCACTGAGCGGGGGGGTTTATTCCTTCCATAGCAAACTGATTGGCTGATCTCCTTGTCGTTGCTCCCTGCAGGCGTACGAGTGGGCGCTGGAGGGGATGCGACACCTAGCCTGCATCAGCATGGAGGACTGCAACTCCCCAGAGCACTGTGCAGCCGCGATCAAGTGTTTGGAAAGCTACAAGGGACAGCACCCGGAAATCAGCGATGCCAAATTCCAGGAGATGAAAGAGCTGGCCTGTGAGCTGAAGAGCGACAAAGGGCTGAAGCAGTGGAAATTTGCATGGTCCAAGTGCCAGGAGACAAAACTGGTCTTTGAGAAGAAGCTAGAAGCTGCCCTGAGAACACGAAGGTCTCTGCTCTCTGAGCGGAAGCCAGGTGAGGGGGAGCACTCCCGGTGTGGTGGTGAGAGCAGCAGGCTGTCTCACAGGAGGCACTCAGAGGGAGCCATCCCTGGGCTGCTTTCAGACAGGAATCACAGCGTGTCCCATTTCTACAGCAGGCCAAACCGTTCTCCTGGGTGGGCCAGGGAAAAAGCTCTCTCACTGTCCCTGAGCAGCTCCGGGGATGTCAGTGCTGGGGAAGAACTGACCTCCCAAGCTGCTCCCAACATGAGTCCCCACTTGAGCAGGGTTTCTCTTGGTACAGTGGCCTGCGAGGCTCCACGCGACATGCCCGAGGACAAGCCAAACCTGGAGAGTATTTTAGAAATTCTTGAGGCAAATTCATCCTGCTCCACCACGTCCGCCTCCAGGAGGCCACCATCCAAGAGGACGCTGAAAAAGGCCCAAAGCTTTGATCTTCCCTGCAGCGAGAGCCTGCGGTCCAGCTGCCAGAGGACTCTGAGCGAGCCGGCCAGGTATGGCAACACGGGAGTCTTCATTAAGGGGCTGGAAGTGAGCAGCACAGAGCTCGCGGACAGGACTCACACAGCATGGCAGCAAGCCGCTCACAGCTGGGCTGCACACTGCCTGCCAGAGGAGCAGAGGAGCTACAGCTCCACGCCAGAGGCCAAGAGCCGGGGCAGGTAGGTGACTTCTTCTCACGGCCCATGTGCAGGGGCCAGCCAGGCTGCGTGGGGATGGTTCTCCTGTCTGCTGAGGCAGGAAGCGGCACTCCTGCTTAATCTCAGGCACTGGCGAGTCCTGGGGTGGAGACAGGCCCCATGGGCTGAGGAGGCAGATTCAGAGAGGGCCAGAAGGGAAGCTCCAGCTTCCTAAAACACACAGCACTAGCAGCTGGGTCAGGGAGGAGTCGCCACCTTCCACCACACGCTCTACAGCGATGCCCCCTTTGAGGAAGGAGGAGAAAGTGTCTCTAATGGGGCAACGTCTAGGTTATTGGCATTAAAGGAAGATGACCTCTAGCCAGGCTGTGGGCCCTCTGCAATGAGGTGGATATTTATTTTATTTTGCAGTTACACAAGTGGTACATTAACGATGGGAGAACTGGGGCGCCCATTTCCTGGGGATAAAGAAACACCAGGAAGAAAAGCCTCTCCCCTGTAAGACACTGGGCTCTAGGCTCCCATTTTCAACAGGGTTGACCTATCCTCTTGCAGCCTTTCCCCCCAAGGGATGCCCAGAAGGAGAAGGAGGTTGTGTTTTAGCGTGGCCTTGAACTGGAAGGAGCACGCTCAAGGACCCAGCAGTCTGCAGAGAATGCTTGTCATGCCCGAAAACAATGGCACGGGTTCCACAAAGTGGAAGAGAGGCGAGGAAGGGGGCTGAGGATCCCAAAGTGGTTCGGATAATGTGACGTGCTGGAGTACAATCCAGACCAGTGGGGGGTTTGTGCCCCCCCCCGCCTTATAGCTTGGGGTGCCTTGCAATGCCTTACTGCTATAGCTCCCAACCTGGGCTGCTCACAAGCAGCCTGCCAGCATTCAGGTCACTCCCAGATGTGTCGGTGTGTAACTGCAGCCTGCCAGTCACACCCTGTCTCTCACCAGCCTTGGTTCTGCCGCAGGGTGACCCCAGCTCACTCCCAGTCCCGGACTTCCCCCCGGAAATGTACGTTCTGTACTGCCCAGCCCGCTCCTGGACAGTCCAGATATGTCAAATCCATTGTTCCTCTAAGGGAAGAATATATACTAGCTTGTTACCTTAGGTAGAGTTAACTTCAACACACTGGATTAGATAAAACAATAAAAAAACTTAACTTCTGAGGGGAAGATTCTAAGTAAAAGCAATGAGGTATAAAAGTCAGAAATGGTTACAAGAAAAAATAAAGTTAAAACTCTTCCTAGTGTCTAACTTAATAAACTACATTAGATTCAAGCAAAGTTTCTCACCACATGCTTCCAACAGCATTACTGACCAAACTCTTTGGGTCAGGACCCCTTCCCCAGAGTCCAGCAGGCTGCTTCCTTTGTCTTCGCAGGGACAGAGAATGAGATGGGCAGGGGGAGAGAAGGGGAGCCTTGGGGGTTTGCCCCTCCTTTTTGGAGCTGTTTAGTCCCTTGTTGAAAAGCATTTCCAGCTGAGAACCAGGAGACAGGCAGTCTACTGAACAAAGGAGACTCCATGCTGTTTCTTTGCTAAGATGCAGATCTTTCTGTCCCTGACCCCATTTTTTGTCAAAGACTGGCCATTTGGTAGGTAAACCCATTAGCTGTGTTGTCACCTGGCTGGAACGTCAGCTTGCCCTTTGTCTTTGAGAAACTGCTTTAACCACTCCCCAGACTTACCTGGGAAACACTCTCCAGTGAGCTGATTTCAGTTTATGTCCATAACTTTACATATAAAGTGGTTATATGCACTTTGCCACGATATTGCTGATCAGCAAGTTATGAGTTTTCAAATGACACCTCACAGGGCATGGCTTGTACAGAGATTATTACAGTAGCATGTAGGGTGTGAACACAGGGCTGTATTCCGTCACTTGAGGGAGGGGGCTCAGGATCTGGGTCACCCCAAAGTGGTTCAGGGTGCCCTGGCCCACTGCCACCCCTGCCAAGTACGTGCAGCATGTCCTGCTACTGCAGCAGCCAAGGGCAAAGGGGAGGATCTTAGCTGCCTCTGGCAGAGTTGGCAGACCTCCTGTTCTGCCTGGCTCTCGGCTGGTAGGCTGTTCCCCTAAAGAGTGCTGAAGCTGAAGGGGGAATGTCCATGGGAAGCAGATGGAGCAATCCCAGAGTCCCTGCAGAGTGCTCAGAACAATTCTTTGGGGCTGTGGCCAGGCAAACAACTGACTATTTGATTCTGCGAGGCAATGCTGGAGCTGCTGCTGGTAAAGAGCCCCATCACTGTGCTTTGACTTCTGCTCTGAGACTTTCTGCAAAGGGACAGAGGAGGAAGTTGACCTTAGCCCAGGCTAGCGTGAAGATTTGACAGGTGTTCATGCGTGGGAGAATGTACTGGAGGCAGGGGGCTGTGCTCTGGCCCAGCTGATGTCCTCTGTATGTAAAGGGAGCTGAAACCTTCTCATAAGGAACACCTGAGGATCCCCCCGGCTGGCACACTCCGCTGTGTCGAGAGCCATTCTGGCGCCCAGTGGGTGTGAATCTGTCTGTAATGAGTGGCAGGGCTTGAAAATGGCTGCCCAGTGGAGACTTTCTCATCCAGCCTGACAAGGGGTGGAATCCAGACGTCTCCAGAGCTGTGCATGGCATGGGGAGCGCCTTTACCAGGAGCCTTCTGCCTCCCATCGTAAGCGCATAAGACCAGCCATACTGGGTCAGACCCAGACCAATGCTCTAGCTAGCCCAGTATCCTGTCTTCTGACAGTGGCCAATGCCAGATGCCCCAGAGGGAATGAACAGAACAGGTAATCAAAAAGTGATCCATCTCCTGTAGTCCCCTCCCAGCTTCTGGCAAACAGAGGCTGGGGACACTCAGCATATGGTTGCATCCCTGGCCATCTTGGCTAATGGCCAGTGATGGACCTGTCTGCCATGAACTTATCTAGTTGTTTTTTGAACCATGTTATTGTCTTGGCCTTCACAACATCCCCTAACAAGGAGTTCCACAGGTTGACTATGCGTTGTGTAAAGAAATATTTCCTTATATTTGTTTTAAACCTGCTGCCTGTTAATTTCATTGGGTGAGCCTTAGTTCTTGTGTTATGTGAAGGGGTAAATAACACTTCCCTATTCACTTTCTCCACACCAGTCATGATTTTATAGACCTCTATCATATCCCCCCTTAGTCGTCTCTTTTCCAAGACAAACAATCCCAGTCTTCTTAATCTCTCCTCACAGGGCAGCCGTTCCATACCCCTAATCATTTTTGTTGCCCTTTTCTGAACCTTTTCCAATTCCGATATATCTTTTTTGAAATGGGACGACCAGAACTGAACGCAGTATTCAAGATGTGGGCGTACCATGGATTTATATAGAGGCAATAGGATATTTTCTGTCTTATTATCTGTCACTTTCTTAATGATTCCCAACATTCTGTTCACTTTTTTGGCTGCCGCTGCACATTGAGTGAATGTTTTCAGAGAACGCTCAACAATGACTCCAAGATCTCTTTCTTGAGTGGGAACAGCTAATTTAAATCCCATAATTTTTTAAGTATAGCTAGGATTATGTTTTCCAATGTGCATTACTTTGCATTTATCAACACTGAATTTCATCTGCCATTTTATTGACCAGTCACTCAGTTTTGTGAGATCCCTTTGTAACTCTTCACAGTCTGCTTTGGACTTAATTATCTTAAGTAATTTTATATTATCTGTAGATTTTGCCGCCTCACCATGTATACCACTTTTCCAGATCGTTTAATGAATATGTTGAACAGCACAGGTCCCAGTACAGCTCCCTGGGGGGCCCCATTACTTACCTCTCTTCTGTCTGAAAACTGACCATTTAGTCCTCCCCTTTGTTTCCTGTCTTTTAACCAGTTACTGATCATTGAGAGGGCCTTCCCTCTTGTTCTATGACTGCTTACTTTGCTTAAGAGCCTTTGGTGAGGGACCTTGTCAAAGGCTTTCTGAAAGTCCAAGTACACTATACCCACTGAATCACCCTTGTTCACATGTTTGTTGACCTCTCAAAGAACTCTAATAGATTAGTGAGGTGTGATTTCCCTTACAAAAACCATGTTGACTCTTCCCCAACAAATCGTGTTCATCTGTGGGTCTGATAATCCAGGGGGAGGGGACTCCTCTCCACCCATCAACAGTGCCGCTCACCCCCCTGCTAAGGGAGGGTGTTCCTGGCTATGCCCTGCTCCCACTGTGGCTGCCTCTGGCTGGGGGGAAGAGAGCCCTTACCCCTGCAGCCACTTTGGCCCTTCCCAGCTGGCAGACAGGATTGCTGTTCTCCTCTGGGCCCTGCGGCTCCTCCTCCCAGCTAGAGGGAAGGGGCTCCAGGTCTCTCCTTTCTGTCTCCCTCCCTGTCACACAGCTAGGGAGAGGTGGGGGAGGTGATGCTGCAGGGGTGGCCACAGTGCAGGGGATAAAGTGAGGGGGAGGGGTGGGAGCTCTAGCTGAAATTCTCGCAGTCCGTTGTCTCACACCCACCTGAGCACCCAGCAGTCACTAGGTTGGGGTGGAGATGGAGCCATGAGAAGTCCGGAGGCACTGGGGTGCCAGAGAGGGAGAATGAGCCTTCGCCCTCTCAGCAGCCAGGGATGGGCATGGGCAGCGGTTGTAAGCGTTCTGCTAGGAATGCCCCTTCCCAGCTGCCAGGCTTCCCACTACACCATGGCCCTAGGCCGTGCTGAAGAACTGCTGCCAGCTCATCCTGCCTACCAGCCACTGATGCCACGTAGTCCTCTCTGGCGTAGGTGTCTGGTGTTTCACTAAGATGTGTCCAGGGGGAGAGGTAATGTCTGTTCCTTCAAACCCACGGCCGGACCTCTTCTTCGTATCAGCCACCCGCTCTTCTGAGAGCTCGGGGAAGAAACCCCACTATTCCTCACAGGTGGGGAGGGATAGCTCAGTGGTTTGAGCATTGGCCTGCTAAACCCAGGGTTGTGAGTTCAATCCTTGAGGGGGCCATTTAGGGGTCTGGGGCAAAAATTGGGGATTGGTCCTGCTCTGAGCAGGGGGTTGGACTAGATGACCTCTTGAGGTCCCTGCCAACCCTGAGATTCTATGATTCTATGGTGGTGCCCACCTGTCAGTGCCTGAGACACCCTGCTGGCCCCCAGCTCCCGTGGGTACCAGTAATGACTGGTGATGGTCCTGTCTCTACACCAGCAGGCTGCATGCACCCGGGCAACGTCACACCCCTTGCTAATGGCAGTAGTTGCTATTACCCGTCTCACGCAGTGGGGCCCCAATGTAGTTGCATTTCACTTGTGATTGTGAGGAGATCTGCCAGGTTAGCAGGGACATGCAGCGCTCGCACAGCTAGCTCCACTTTGTCTGGGCTGGTGTGGAGTAAATCGGGATTACAGCTGGGTCCTCCCTCCGCTGAGCCCACCTGACCACTACGATTTTCCCTCCTCTGGAGCCAGCCACCATACAGGTAGCAGGCATGCCAGATTGCAAGAGGGATTGTCGGCAGGGGGCAAGCGTTCCCTCCTCCAGGGGCACAGATGCCCTGGGCACTGCGTAACCGGCCTGGTTTGGCCATGCAGGGCAGAGGCGTGGTGCAGAGGTCTGTAGAGGAGTTTCCTGTCAGGTTCTCTCCAGCCCAGCTGCAGGACAAGGCCAATGGAGCTGCCAGCATGCAGACCCTCCAGCTGAAGCCCAGCCCCAGAGAAGAGGCTGATGAGCAGCTTCCCTGCTGCCTGGGCGGGAGGGCTCGATGGCAGTCCCCGGTCCCCCGGCCTCTGTGCAGGAGCCCCTGTGCCAAGGGCAGTGGTCTGACCAGCAGGGCAAATCCCACGCTCCTCTCAGCCTGGGTGGATGGACTGGCATGGCTGTGTGCCCTTGGAACAGTGCTCTGCGTGCTGACTTGCCACGCAACAGCCTCATCTCTCCCCTACCCAGCATGGTCACTGCCATCGCCCAGCTGTCCCAGCACCAATCTGGCGAAGGCTGAGGGGATGTAGGCTGGAAGGAGGAACCAGCTGGGAGTATGACCCCTGTTGAGGGCATCGGTTGCAGGGTCCTGTTGGGCTTTTTGCTGCCTACCCACCCAGGTGCTGCTGTGAGAGAAAGGGGTGAGGGTGAAGCAGGCAGGAAGGAGTTAATTTCCCACTGAAAGTTAAATCAAATAGCAGAAGCTTCTCAGCTAAAAACCAACCTGCCAGAGAAGGGACCTGCCAACACCTCTGCCCCCTGCTGGCTACGCAGCACACAAGCCAAACCCCCAAGGCTGGGGAAGAGCCCTCTAATCACTTCATTTGCACCCACGCCCAGGCCTCAGATTGTTAGTATCTTTCTAGCCAAGAGATGCCGAGGTTTGAGCAGTGTTGTAGATGGTCACAGGAGGGACACGTAGACAGGCCCATCCCGCCCTGCTCGGGCTGTGATGCCTGTGAGCAGGAAGCCATGGCTGCTGTCCCCCATGGTTCTCTGGGGCACTGTTCCCATGGAGGGGCCTTTGGGATCATTCTCCCCAAGAGCAGCTTTCCATGGTCCTTGTGACACCCTCCGGCACCCTGGGGCCCTGAGGACTTTCGTTTGTCTTTCTAGTCACTTCACTGTGACAGCCATCTGTCCTGGGCCAGCCCAACGGTGCTGCCCATGGCAAGGTAGGCCGCCTGTACGCAAGGGGAGCGGGGAGTAGCTTTCTCACAGAGGTGATGGGGGTGTAGCAGGAAAGGCTGTTAGATGGCTGTACTCCCTCCAACACCCATACATGCATGTATATTATCCTGCATTTTCTTACCCCCTCTGTTAGTTTCTTTGCTTGGCCCCTCTTTATGCAGGTTACACTTACACTGATGTAGGCCAGTTACCAGCCTGGCATGTACTCGGAGAGCCACACTTTCACCCTGTCCTTCCCGGTTATCAGGGCAGGAAACAGAATGTTGTCAAATGAAAGCCGAGATTCTGATGCCGCCCCGGATTGAGGAGCCGAGCCCAAGGCACCCGTGTGCCTGCAGAACCTGTCCCGGAGCCAGCCCTGCCAGTCTCCCCTTCCCGACTGAGATTTTCTTCCTCTGCAGCAAACTGCGGCACATCATAGACGAGATGGTGACCACGGAGCGGGAGTACGTGAGGTCTCTGTGTTACACCATCGAGAGCTACTTCCCCGAGATGGAGCGCTTGGACCTGCCCCAGGACCTGAGAGGGAAGCGCAGTGTCATTTTCGGGAACCTGGAGAAGCTCTACGACTTCCACAGCCAGTACTTCCTGCGGGAACTGGAGAGCTGCTGCAACCACCCGCTGCGCGTCAGCCACGGCTTCCTCAGACACGTAAGGCAACTGCGTCCATCTGGCTGTCCTGCTCCGCCGCTGGGCTGGGCCGTGAAAGGTGGCATTGTCTGAGCAGTCTGATTGCTGGAACCCTCTGCTCAGACCAGGGGTTACTGCAGAGCCTGTCCCTGGGGGGTCAGCCCCGGAGCCGGCCCAGGTTGGACCAGGACACTGAGCTCCAGAGTAATGCATTCGGAGAAACCCAGGTTCCTGTTACAAGACACTCCGAAGCCCAGCTGAGCTTGCGGAGCTCGGGGTGGGAAAAGGATTTGCTGCTCTGGAAGTTGTCGTCTCTTGTTAACACAGTTAGTGGCTAGAGCCTGCTCCCAGGTGTGCAGGGTTCTCTCTCTAGCAGACGCATGGTCTGATGATTATACAGGGAATGAGCAGCGCACATGCATGCAGCCAAGTCCGAGGTGCCAGGCCCAGTACAATACGGTCCCCAAGGCACGGCACAGCTGCCCCAGTGCAGGGGCTGGGAAGTGGGGAGGAGCTGCAGTCTGGGGAAGCTTTGGCAAGGTGAGTTGTGGTGCCTTCAATAAAGGCAAGGCCCTGGGACCGGCAGAGCCGTGCATGGGACCCCATACCCGAGGGAACAACTAGAACTGCCCTGGGCTGATTTTCTAGGCTCTGCTGTGTGCTCACTACTTACGCTTCCCTTTTAGCACTTCTCTCCACAGCATTTTCTGTTAGTTTAATGAACATCTCTTCCCCATCGCCAAGGTCACTGCATACACACAGCCCCTGGTGTTCCCCAGGATGCCTGAACCGGGGGTGATGGCTGGGCTCAGGCCCCCAGACCACAGGCTTCCCAAGGCTTGTTGCCTGGCTCCCGCAGCATGAGAGGGAATAGCGAGCTTTGTGCACTAGCCTGCCCTGAAAGCTCATCTGGGGCCAGAGGGCAGTGTAGAGAACACCTCCTGGCTACCCATAGTCACTCTGCTCCACCAGCCAGGATTCCCTTGGAGGCCAGGGCCCCGGAGCACAGTGAGGACAATCTAGCCCTGGGGAACGTAATGCGGACATAGCCATGTGACTCTCTCATCAGTTCTGCTGAGAACTCCAGTATGGCTGTGCTGGGTTTATTGATGTCACACCCACCGTCCCAGCACAAGCCACGGGAGAAGCAGATGTGTTTGCCCCTTCCTGCTCAGACCTAGGCCTGGTTCTGCTCCCAGTTCACCAGCAAAACCACCTCCAGGCAACAAATCCTCAGGGCTTGTGAGTGAAGGCAGCCAGCATGCAGCAGGCAGCTTGCGCTCAAGGCAGCTCCGCCGATACCGGGGAAGAGCAGATGCTGCGTTTTTCTCCCATTTTTCCTGACTGTTAAGGGACATTTCCCGGGCAAGAGGATCTTTGCTCTTCAGAGTCCATCAGTCCGTGGCTTATCCTCCGTCTGTGGCGTCAGATGGGGAAGGAATTGCAGGAGCAGGTGGTCTCTAAGGGTACGTCTACACTGCAATTAGACACCGCGGCTGGCCTGTGCCAGCTGACTCAGGCTTCCAGGCTCAGGTTGTGGGGCTGTTTAATGGCGGTATTGACTTCCAGGCTCGGGCTGGAGCCTGGGCTCTAGGACCCTGCGAGGTGGGAGGGTCCCAAACCTCAGGCTGCAGCCCGAGACCGGAAGTCAAAACTAAAATTAAACGGCCCCTTAGCCCAGGCCCCGGGAGCCCAAGTCAGCTGGCAAAGGCCAGCTGTGGGTTTTTAATTGCAGTGTAGATACACCGTAAGTCCAAAGATCCTCGACTCTTTAATAGCGAAGCACAATGCGGGAGAGGTGCTGGGAGCATTGTCTCTAAAGCAGAGTTATTCCAGGACAGCCTGTTTCCCTCTCCACCAGGCCTGTAACGCTGGCTGCAGTGTCTCTTTACAGCCCTGTTCAGCGGTCGCTGTAAGGGCCTGCAGGCCATACGGCCCACAGGGACTCCTAGGCAAGGGGCAGAAGGAAGATTTTGCGGAGGAACCAGCAAACAACCCTGTCTGCCATAATGATGACATGGAGTTGAAGGAGTTACCCATGGCTCCTGGGGAGGTCCCAGGAATCCATAAGGAGAGTCCTCCTCCCCAGTTCCCATGTGCACAGGCCCAGCGTAGCCAGTTAAAGTCCAGGGCCCTGGGGCAGTTGGTTTGGAGACTCTCTGCAGCAATCCTCTGTAAAGGAAACGGGGTCACTTGACAACAAGGCCTTGCATTAACTCGGGGGACAGCCGCAGTTCCGGAGTGTGAAGGTGTCCTTCAGGGTTGTTTGTTTCTGTTGCAGAAGGATCAGTTTGGGATGTATGCATTATACAGCAAAAACAAACCCAAATCCGACTCGCTGCTGGCCAGCCATGGGAACACGTTCTTTAAGGTAAATCCCCTGTGCCCCGAGCCCGGATCAGAGCTCTGTGGTTCCCACTAGGGTTGGGATTGGGTCCCTCCCTTGTCTGCTTACAGAAACCTAGCCCCTGTTCAGGACACAGGGTGCTGTCTCTGTGCTGGGCTGGGGAAGATGGGCTCTGCTGGGTGCAGGGAACAGTCTCCTGCAATTGCCTGGGTGTCACAGTGTGAGGAGCGGAGTGGGAAGGGGGCTGGAATGCAGAGTTGCTCAGTGGCTGCTCTGCAGAGTACTCTGCCTTGGAAAGGGGCCCTGCAAACAACTGCTTCCTCCTTATTAATTCCTCTGCACGTCCGAGCTTGCTCCGTTCCTTCTCATAGCCTACAGAACCCTAGTGAGCAGTAGGCTCCAGTGGAGAGTGTTTGGCAAACTCAGCGAGCCATTAGTCCCAGGCCCTTGGGCTTGGGGCAGCGGAGGTCTTGCCACTCCCCAGGAATAGCTGCTGGGGACAGGCGGCTGCTCACCCATCCCTCTGCTGATCAGTTTTCTCTGGGGTCTCAGTTCAAGCAGGTGCAACTGGGGGATAAAATGGATCTTGCCTCCTACCTGCTGAAACCCATCCAGCGCATGAGTAAATACGCCCTGCTGCTGAAGGACCTGATCAAGGAGTGCGGCGAGGCCCAGGAGCAGGAGCTGGGCTACCTCCGAGCAGCAGAGGAGATGGTGAAATTCCAGCTTCGGCACGGCAACGACCTGCTAGCCATGGACGCCATCCGAGATTGTGATGTACGTAGAGGAGCAGCGCATTCTCTCCCTCCCTGGACGGCGGGTTCATCTGCCCTCCACACGTACACCCAGCCTCCGGCTGGCGCTGGGATTTGCCCCATAGCACTCAATGGGCGATCGGATCCCAAAGCTCACCTGGGACTTGCTGAGGACATGGCCTTGGGAGGAGGTGCTGAGCCCCCGAGGCTGCGGGCACAGACTCCATCAGTTCAGCCATTGCTGCGAAGTGGGACTCTCCCGTTGGCACAGGCGTTCCACCTCCCCAAGTGACGGCAGCAAGGGCCATGGAAGAATTCTTCCGTCAACCTAGCGCTCTTCACATGGGGACTTAGGTCGGCTTAACTGCGTCGCTCAGGGGTGACACCGACCTCATTTTCTAGTGTAGACCAGGCCTGAGCTGTATCGAGCTCCTGGCTGAGCGCAAGGGGTGGCTTGTGTCCTGTGATGCCGACCCTGCTCACTGGCCAGTGGAGCGTAGCCCAGGCTGAGCTGTCTGATCTTCCCTGGCCGGGTGGGGAGAGGTGCCAACTGCTACCCACAGAACCACCTGTCCAGGATTTCCCCTCCCAAAGCTTGGCTCTGAGCTCAGCCTCTCTTCCTCGCAGGAGTGCTGGGTGCAGAGATGGACACGGCTTGTGGTGCCATGGGGTGGTTCCAGCTAGCGGGGGTCAGCATTACTATTTGCAGGGTTTGCTGGGCTCCGCCCCGCTCTCCAGTGACTTAGTAGCAAACAGAGTCCCAGGGTCTGTGCCCCAGCCTGTAACCAGTCTCCTGGGGGTGCCCCTGTAGTGGGCCTGGCCCCAAGGTTTCACACCGTTCCACCGGGGCAGGCCTGTGACCTCGAAGACTCTGAGACTGGGCAGTCGGCACCAGTGACCCCGTCTCTCTCCGTGGCTCCCTGCACCGAATCCAGCCCAGCCAGACTCCTGCAGGAGGCCTGTGCTGTCCCCTGTCAGGGCGCAGTGCTCTCAGTGAGTATTCACAGTGACACAGGCAACCTCTCCAAACCACGGTACCATCGACTGGTCACCTGGCTGCAGAATCTGAACACACTGGGGTTAGCTCAGAGAGGCAGAAGTTAAGCCATGGTCCACCCTGGCTAAGCCAGCACCATGATGGACCAGTCAACCTGTGATGGACTCATCTCTGACTCTCTCCCGTCACCTGTTTGTCTCCCCAAGTTCACACTCCTGAGTCCCCACAAAAAGCCCCTTTCTTTCAGTCACCTGACACCCTGTTCTCCACCTCAGTTCCCAAATCCCACCTGCTGGGGTGTCCTGCTCTTAGATGTTGATTATTCGGACCTTGGGCCGTCTCTTTGTCTCACTGGATCCTGTGTTGATTTGGGTTGGTTTGAGCCAGTTCTTTAATGACTCTGTTTTCCCTCCCAGACAGTGAGGTGACACTCACACCTCCTGTGCTGTTCCAGGAGCAGTGTTAACCCTTTTACACCCGCTGGGTAGCAATGCACCATGCAGAGGGAAACTGAGGCATGCCCTCGAAGTCATACAAATATTACAGAATATTCTCATTTCTTCACACATTCCCCCTCGATAAGGAAGAGAACAGGCCCTGGCTGGTACCTCCAGACTTGCCATGCACGTGTCTGGCAGCCCTGACTCTTGCAGGGGGACATTCACCCAAGCAGAGGGCCAGCCAGGCCTTGGTATTGCTTATACCCCACTTAAATCCTAGTTAGAGGGCTCAAGTGGTGCCTACATCTTGTGCTCTGTGGGGTGAATGTCTCCCCTCGTGAACTGGATCTCTCTTGGGATCCCTGGTTCCTGGGTGAAGCGAGGAAAGTTCCTCTTTCAATCTCTGTGTCTTCCTCTCCGCAAATTCCCTTCCTTCGCCATATCTGGCTGCAGCATCTCACCAGCAGCTGGGGACACGGGGACCAGGCTGCTCAAGAGTCAGGTTCCCTGCTCTCCACACACAGCCCTGCCCTCTGCAGCTGCTCGTCTGCTGCGGTCCAGGCAGTGATGTGGGGCTGGGCATCAGTCCCACCTGGTTCAGCTGCGGGCTCTGCTTTACTGGGCTGGCGTTCCCTCTGGCCAGGTGAACCTCAAGGAGCAGGGGCAGCTGATGCGGCAGGATGAGTTCACCATCTGGCTGGGCCGCAAGAAGTGCCAGAGACACGTCTTCCTGTTTGAGGACCTGATTCTCTTCAGCAAGCCCAAGAGGATCGAGGGAGGCTTCGACGTGTACATCTACAAGCGCTCGTTCAAGGTCAGGCTTGCTCCACACAGTAGCGCCTCTGGGGGGCGTTCTTGGGCACACTCTTACTACTGCCTGTCACCTGTATTGCGGGAACCCCTCGGAGCCCAGACCTGGGCCAGGACCCCCCAGTGCCAGGCACTGTACAGACGCAGGGCGGAGAGATGGTCCCTGCCCAGGCAGCTCACGGTGTAGCAGACGGGCTCCAGAGGGAGACGATAAGCGTATGGCCCTGTGTTCCCTGCTGGGCCAGGGCTGGCAGGGCACTGCTCTCCTCTGCTGCTGCACTGCCAGGCGAGAGGGGGCTGGGCCTCATCAGCCTTCACCATGAGGGTCATGCTGGCCAGGGGGCTGAATTCTCTCGGCTTCTCCAGGGGTGTGCTGGAGAGTGGGACGTGGTCCATGGCATGGGCTGAGGGGGCGCAATCCAGGACGGATCCGAGGCCCCCCCTTCCCAGTGCCCCCGTAGCTCTCCTGAGCATTGCGTGTTCCCTCTCCCCAGACGGCAGATATCGGCCTGACGGAGAACACCGGGGACAGCGGCCTGCGCTTTGAGATCTGGTTCCGACGGCGGAAGTCCAGCGATACGTACGTCCTCCAGGCCAGCACAGCAGAGACCAAGCAAGTCTGGACCAAGGACATTGCCAAGATCCTGTGGCAGCAGGCCACCCGCAATAAAGGTGCGGCCCCTCCCCATGGCACCTCCATCCCTTGAGGGCTCCTTGGGTACCTGGGTCTGGATGCTGCTCTCCACACTGGCCCAGGGAACCTGGTTCCTGGGAACTTTGTGTAGGTGCTTTGCCGCGTACGGTGTGGAACGACAACACTCCCTAGGTCTTTCCCTCTGTCGATCGTACCGCACGTCTGTGTCCCTCTCCCCATGCTGTCCAGGCTGAGGGACAGAGACTTGCCCAGGGTCACTCAGCAAATCGGTGGCCAAGTCAGGTGTCACAGCTCCCCAGGGTCTGTGCTCCTTGAGGAGCCCCCTTCGTGCGCCAGACCCCCTCAGGGTCCCGCTTAGGGTGACCAGATTCCCAATTTTATAGGGACAGTTCTGATTTTTGGGTCTTTTTCTTACATAGGCTCCTATTACACCCCACACCCTATCCCGATTTTTCACACTTGCTGTCTGGTCACCCTCGTCCCACTCTTCCTTCAGGGCAGGACACGCGTCCGCACCGCCTCCAAGACTGAGCTCCTGGGGTTCACACCAGGAGCTCGGCCCAGCAAGTCCAGCTGAGGTGGAACTTGAGTGATGCGGTTGTACTGACCTAATTTCCTAGTGTTTTCCTTAGCCTACCCTAAGAGCAACCATAATCCTTTCCCCCACTCTGATAGCAATGCAAACCATGGGGGAAACTGAGGCACACATAAGACTATTACAATAAATTCCCACTTTTGTTACACCAACATGAGAACTCAGGTCTCCTGAGTCCTAGGGCAATGTCCCTTCCAGGAGGCCACACAGGCTACCAGCCCTGCACCCCTATGCTGCGGCTTGCAGTGCAGCACCCATCTCCCCCAGGCATGCAGCTGAAGACCCTCCATCCAGAGCCCGACCCCGCACTTGGCCTTGGCCAGAGCTCCCACAGCTGGAGGCTCTGAGCTGCCAGTCCTGGTGGGGCTCGCTCGCTTGTTTGCCAACTCTCCCAGCGGAGCATCCCCCGAGCAGTGAGTGGCAAAGGAGCCGGGCCCGATGCTTCACTAGCAGGGCTCCAGCAGCCTGCTAGGGGGGTTTTGTGGGCTCAGGGCTCCTGGCCCAGTCCCAGGGGATCAGTGCAGTCTCCTCTGTGCTGGAGACGGGGGAGAGCCGCACTTCGCTCTATGCTCCGCTGCTGTCTCCCCAGAAATCCGCAGGCAGGAGATGGTGTCCATGGGGGTAGGGAACAAGCCGTTTCTCGACATCACGCCCAGCGAGGCAGCTATCAACGACCGCGCCATCGATTACATCATGAAGGGCAGAGGTAGGTGCCAGCCCCATTGCCCCTCCGCCCAGAGCCAGCGCAGGGCTGACGCTCACGGCTTTGTTTTGTGGCAGGAGCTCGGACAAGGGCCTCCATCGCGGTGTCTCTGTTTGACCACTCCAACCCCTACAAGAGAGCCCAGACGCCTCTCTCTGCTGGCGCCCCCTCCGCCTACAGCCCTTCGTCCTCCTCCCTGCTCGGGCCCCTCAACCTGCACGTGTACCTGGAGCAGGCCCTGCTGCCGGGCGTGCTGGCCCCCGGCCGCCCCTTCCACGCCGGCGCCTGCATCGAGGAAGATGAGCAGGAGCATGAGACCAGCAGCCAGCCTTCGCTGAGTACGTATGAGCGGACAGCCGCTGGGCACGCAGGGAGCCCCCTGCCACCTGCACTGCCCCAGCGCAGAGCCCTGAGCTTCCTCGGGCACCTCCCTCACCATCAGGCCGGGCCCCTGGGCAGGGCAGTGACAACTCCTCCCCTCCAGCTCCCCGCAGAGCCCTGCTTACGCCAGCTTCACCTGTTCCCTTCCCATGGGCCTGTCTCCCTCTGCCCCTGTTTGCTGAGGGGTTACGATGGGCACTGCTGCCCATGGGACCCAGCTCTGATGCTGTCCCCCAAGCCCTCTGCCTGTGTGAATTCGACATGAGACAGTTAGTGCTTCGTGGTGTCTGTTTTCCCAGGCCCCAAGCGCGGCTCTGCCAGCTTTAGGCAGGGTCCTGGGCTCCCCCGCACTCTCGGTCCGTGGGGTTCCCTTTTCTTACCCCCCTTCCTGAAGGAGCTGGTGCGGTGACCACCCCCCAACCCTTAGAGCTCCGCATGTCACCTCTGCAGAGCTCGCCTGCGCCTCACGCCAGGGTGTGGAGCTGTGTGCTGCCCATGGGGAGGGGGCAGAGGGACACTCCCCTGTTCTGCCATCAGATATTGGGGAGCCCCCGGCACAGCAGCCCGGGGACTTGCACGCCCAGCTCAGTGGAGATACCCGCAGGAGGGGTCCGAGTAGGAACCTGCAGCCTCCTCTGGCATGTTAGCAGGCTCATCATCTGAACAAGCAGCTCTAAAGCAGGCCACCTTTTGTCAGTGGTGGGGAGCGCTCAGACAGGCCTGGGGTCTGCACTGGGGCGTGCTGCACCCTAGGGAAGAAATGGATCCATCTTACCTGGCCTTCACCACCATACCCTCATAACGTCACACGCATTTCTCCTCACAGCCCCCAGCGAGGCAGAGCAGGGCCGTTATCCCCATTGCACAGATGGGAAACTGAGGCACAGAGAGACTGAGTGGCTTGCTCAGGCTCATCCAGATCAGGAACTGACTCCAGGGCTCTAATCCCCCACTGTTGTCCTATCACTAAACCACCCTTCCACATCCAAGGCCCACCTGCATAACAGCTTCCCCCTGCCAAGCACCTTTCAGCCCGAGTGCTTTCGCCCGGATAGACTGGGAGCACTTGCCCCCGGCCGGAAGGCAGCCGCTCTGGGTGGGACACGGTAACTCGTTAGTAGCGCACAGAGTCTAGGGCGAAGCAGTTCGTCTCCAGTTGACATTGCCGGGGAGATGTATGGAGGGAGAAGGCCAGGACGCCTTGTCTAGCACGACTGCTGCAGCATGTGCCATGGGGCTTTTAACCACCCAAGGGCTCCCGGCTCCCCCCACTTGTGCCCTCCAAAGTCCCCCTCCCTGCTCGGCTCATGCTGAACCCCCGCTCCCCCCGCTGACTCTCCAGTGCTGTGAGTGTTAGCCAGGCCCGTGGGCAGCCTGCCCTGGGGTGGGGTGGCCATGGGCTGCACAGACATGCGCCATGGAGCCTGGGGTGTGCAGCCCGGGATTAGCTTGTGTGGCTGCACCTGAGCAGGTCGTTTGGTCACCAATCCGTGGTCCCTTACGGGTGGTTCCTGCCCTCTCTCCTCCCAGCGACGGAGAGCTCCGAGTCCTCCCAGTGCCTGTCGGGCAGCGGCTCCGACAGCGGCTGTGTCTCCAGCGTCCCCCAGGAAAGCTTCTGTGACGACGTGGGCTCGCCGGCGTACACGCCGCTGGGCTCCCGGCACAGCACCACGCTCACCTCCCCGCTGGACGAGAACCCCAACTTCGCCAAACGCCAGTACAGGTCTGCGGTGAGTTAAAGCAGCTCGCGCCCCCACGTGCACGACAGCGCCGCGGCATGGCTGCAGGCTGCCCCCCAGCGACAGCTGCTGCACCTGCGTGACCCCGGCGGGGACACGAGACTTCCTCCTGCACAGCTGGGTGACAAAGCTCACGTTGCCTCCAGAGAGTCAGGCTGGACCCCCGAGTGTTGTGGGATCCTGACAAAGCAACTGGACACCGCCCTGAGGAGGGAGCTGCTGTTCCCTCTGCTGTGCCATTCCCAGCGGGTACTCAATGCCAGCACGCACATAGCCACGCCTGGGCATTGGCAAGCACGTTTCAGCTACTGCTCTGCAGAACAATGGAGCTTGGGAGGGGCTGTCCCACAGCTCCTTTCCCGGGGAAGGGCTGGGTGTGCTCTGGGGGGGGGACGGGATGCAGGAGTCCCAGGTGGGACACTCATGAGTTTGAATGTTCTGTTACCATGTCTCCTTGGCATCCCTCTGACTTGCCAGCCCTTTACTCTTCCCAGCCTAGCGGGATGGTGTCCCCTAACGCTGGCTTCTCTCCGCAGACAGCAGGCCCGGTCACCGTGAGCCCCTCGACAGTTGTGTGAGCCCCTCTGCACAAGTGTTCTGCCTCAAGGCGCAGAGCTGTAAGTAGCTGCTGGGGGGGAGGTCAGTGCTGGCCGGGTTTGGCAGCCGTGCCGAGCCAGGAGAATCTCAGCCATGGCTCCATGTTAATGATGGCTGCTGGCTAACCCCTGAGATTGTGGGCCAGCTGCTTAGAGACACGTTGCAGGGTCTGGCTGAGGCAGTGTGTAAACGAGTCCTTACCAAGGATATGCGGGCGCTAGCTTGGGTCTAGTCTCTGTGCCATTGGCCCAGGTCGGATCCTTGGGCTGTTTTTGACCCAGCCATCTAGCCGCTGCCCTGTCTCTTCTTTGCCAACATCCTGCTGCACCCCAGCCCCTCTGACTTGACGCTGGGAGTCAGCCATGTTTCCCCCAAGGCTGCTGCTAGCTCACTGTCTCCGTGTCTGTCCCCTGAGCCTAAGGAGACAGGGCCCTCATTAGCAGAGTTTGTTAGGAAGGCCGGACCCTGAGACGGCCTGGTTCTGCTTGTCTGCCCTGAGGCCCACCCTCAGCTCTGCACTGTTGCTAGGGGACTGCAGCTGTCCTGCTGATGCAGGTATGGGAGGGCAGGCCACACATGGGACTCCAAGAGAGCTCCATTGATGCTTCTCAGGCAGCCCCGGGGAGAGCTGCCGAAGGGGACACCACATGACTCACTCCTGAGCACAAGTATATCTGAGAGCAGCTGACACAAACATCGCCCCCTTCCTCGGGCCATGGAACATGACACTGGGGGCCAGCAGCTGCTGTTCCTGCAGGGGGGTTGACACAGTCTCATTTCTTTTCTAGTAGAAGGGGGAGGATCCAACCCTGGGAAACTTCCAGATCTGCAGCCAAACTTGGTGACTCAGTCCTCACTCCGCTTCTTAACCAACAGCCCCCTACCCTGGAACCAACAAAGCCAGCATGAAAAGGGGGGATGCAGGATTGGGGCAAGTGGGGCTCCTCCTTCTTGTGCATCATCCGTGTCCCTGTCCATGGTCCAGTTGATGCTTGTGTTAGTCGGCTGGTTCGTTTGGGGTTTGCTGACTGTATTCACATGGCAACATGTCACCAGAGTGTAGATCAGTGTTCTGTGACCTGCCGGAGGCAGAGCGAAATCAAATTCACAGGCAAAGCTGGAAGCTCCATAACAACGGTGCGCTGGGTGCGGATCAGAACCCAGCCCTGTTGTCTGAATTAGGCTACGGTGTCAGGACTCTGAGATTGGGGCGGTGGTCAGGCTCCCTTTCCTCTCCAGCAGGGAAAGCCTGTGCTGTGGCTGCAGCCTTGTGAGGGTGAGGGGCACTCTCAGGATGTGGGAAAGCACCTTGCTGTCAGGACCCTGGCCCAGCAAACCCAGAAAGGCCATGCTGGATTTTCATACAAGCTTGGAGGCAATAGCTTGTGAAACGGCTGTTTGCTTAGCCTTATGATTAATCTGGGTTGCAAAATGCACTTGGCACTAATAACATGTTCGTTCTTGGGTGGCTGCTTAGCGATTTAGAGGCTGGGGTCTATTACTGAAGTAGGTGAGTGAGGTTCTGTGGCCAGGAGGTCACAGAATCATAGAACCGTAGGGCTAGAAGGGGCCGCAAGGGTCACCTAGTCTAACCCCTGTCAAGATGCAGGATTTGTTGTATCTAAACCATTCGTGACAGATGGCTCCAGCCTCCTTTTGAAAACCTCCAGTGAAGGAGCTTCCATGACATCCCTAGTCAGACTAGATGATCATGATGTTCCCTTCTGCCCTTAACATCCGTGAATCTAGGAGATTAATTAAGAAGGTGATCGGTGAGACACCCAGAGAGACTCCATGAGGTATATTAATAACATGGCCAATATAAGCAAAGTCACAGAACTAAGAAAACAAAATTAAAATAACAGCAGAATCCACATCATGTGCACTCATGACTAGGACCCTACCAAATTCAGGGCCATGACAAACGCATCACAGACGGTGAAATCTGGTCTCCACCCCGTGAAATCTGGTCTTTTGTGTGTTTTTACCCTATGCCATACAGATTTCACGGGGGGGAGACCAGCATTTCTCAAACTGGGGGTCCTGACCCAAAAGGGAGTTGCGGGGGGGGGGCACAAGGTTATTTCAGGGGGGTTGAGGTATTGCCACCCTTACTTCTGCGCTGCCTTCACAGCTGGGCGGCCAGAGAGCGGCGGCTGCTGACCGAGGGCTCTGCGGGCAGCAGCCCAGAAGTGAAGGTGGCCATACCCATCCCAGGCCATCCTGACTTCTGCGCTGCTGCTGGCCGCAGCTCTGCCTTCAGAGCTGGGCTCCCGGCCAGCAGCCGCCGCTCTCCGGCTGCCCAGCCCTGATGGTATAGTAACACAACCCCCCCTACAATAACCTTGCGAACCCCCCCCCCCCACACACACACACACTCACCTTCTTTTCAGGTCAGGACCCTACAATTACAACACCATGAAATTTCAGATTTAATTAGCTGAAATCATGAAATTTATTATTTTTAAAATCCTATCACCAAGAAACTGACCAAATGGACCGTGAATTGGGTGGGCCCTATCCATGAATCTGCAGGGCTGGGTTCCCCGTTAAAGCGAGATAAGCATTAAAGCTGCCACCACGCTGCTATCCCACAGTTCCCTGTGAGAGCTGGGTTTGATTCCCTTTCGGACACCTATTCCTTACACCCACCTACCCCTGAGACCATAGTTGATTCTGTTTGTGCCTCTTGTCAATACGTGTCACTCCGGCTGTCCATCGCTGGGGCTCTGACAAGTGTTGTAAGTGTTCGCACAGATTGGAGGGTCTCTGCACAGTGCAGCTAAGGAGTCTGGCTAAATAAAGTCTTTGCAGTCTGACAGTTTCTCTCAAGACACATATGGCTAAATCTTCCAACCCAAGGTTGCTTGCTTTTGTTAACTTTCATGAGGCCTCATGTGGTCTTCTGCTAACAATTCTTACCCAGCAAAATGCTTCCGGCTCATATGTTAAAATAAGCTTTTAGTTCTTTGCTTACTCCTACTTGCAGAACGGCTTTAGTTTCAGGGGCACTCATTTAACAAGCATCTTATCTCCTTCTAAATTGTAACTGACGATTTACCTGATCCGCTGAGCTCAGGTCATGGGTCAAAGGTCAACACTGCACATGGGGAAGCGGCGACCTACATCTCGCTGCAGCAGTCGTCACGGGGAATGTACCCCCGGGTAGAGTGCAGCAAGCCTAACCATTGCCTGGTGCTGTGTTCCAGGTCTGATCACTGGTTCCATTGAACCCACGGAAGAGTCCACGTCTCTGACCGGCACCAGGAGACTGGAGATGTTCAAGCCCAACCACAGGCTCGTCAAACCAGCCCAGCACGGGCACTTGGCTGGGGAGCGCCCCCAATTAGTGCCCTGTTAACTAGACGCCACCACGGGCGTGTTGGAGGGGCAGTTAGTCCTTTATTTATAAATGTGTTAACACGTAACGTAGCAATTTGCAAAGACAGAGTATTTTGGAAGCTCTGGACTGTACAGATTTTGTTACTCGTTTTGTTATAACGTTTATGGAAGGGCTCGAGGAGGAAACGAACGAGGTATTTAATAAAAGTAGCGCCGTTTCCATTTGGGCTGCGTGCTGCGCCGCAGCGTGAGATCGGCGGCCTCCCTTTTGTTTTAGATTGGCTAGTGTAGCGATAATTTATTTCCTTGGCTTAACACTCCTGTTTTAATCAAACCAGGTTCATTGTTACGTCAGGTGCTTGCCGTGCTGAGCTGCTCCCTGCCTTAGTACCACTATGAGCTGTCAGTGTCTCCCACCTCCCCGTTTGACTGCTGGGAAGATTGACCCCAGAACCCTACAAAACCAGACATCCCCCTGGGCAGCAGAGTAGTGTTCCCAGGGCAGATGTGGGGAGGCCCCAGCACAGCAGCGGTGCGAGAGCAGGTCAGAGGCGACGTCAGTGGGAGCCGTCCTGCAGAAGCCAGATGTGCTCTCCTGGCTCTGCAGCACGCCTGTTGGAGAGAAGAAGGGAACTGTTCATGCTGTCCAGCTCCAGCTCAGTTGCTGTCTTTGTGGCAGACCTCACAGGCGGCAGCCGGGCCTAAGGGCATGAGGCGTAAGGGGCAAAGTCAGCATTGTGGAGAGGCTGTCACAGAAGGAACGGGGGCGTGCCCAGTGTGGCTGGGCGGAATGGCGGTTTGCTGGCCTGGTCTGCCTTTGCCTTTGTCGTGTGTTCTAGGCCCATTCAGATGCCCAGCCCCAGCATGTGGTGGTGGTAATCAAAGTAGCACGGACCAGAGCCCCTGTCTGAGCACAGCAGCTACGGAGTGTGTTGAGCCCAGATTATTATGCCACTGAAACAGTCAAGGCCCCAGCTTTAATGTGGTGTAATTCCAGTAGAGACACGCATTTGCCTGTGTGCGATGTGCCCCTTAGGACAGTTTGAGCTCCTCGGTAAGCGCCGTCAGGGAAGTTTGACTTTACTGACGCCGCAAGGGCTTGTTTGGCTTGGAATCCTTTCATTTAACATGTAGTGGGGGAAATGCAAACCTGCTGGCTGAGAGCATGTTTACTTAGGGCTTCTTCAAGTGCTGCAAACCTTTAGCCCCCAGCTTTTGCAACACGTACACACACCTTAATAATAGTAGGGAGCAGCCAACTTGGCCTTAATAATAGTAGGGAGCAGCCAACTGCTTAACTAGTTTCTCTGCATAGCTGCTGGTTTGGGTCCATTCACAGTTCAGTGCTTTCTAGGCTCAGAAACGCTCACCCTCCTGGGCACACATTTAGCCTTTGCATATCAGCCCTGTTCCTTTTCATTCGGAAATGTACATAGGACACTTCTTTGATGTTCCATTAATAAGCTGATACTTTTTCAGTCTTACTCCTTTTTAGATGTCAAAATGGAAGATGATTGACATTTTGGTACAATAATGTGTGGTGAACAATTGGCCAGGGACGATTTTAGAACCCGGTGTGTAAAAATCTCTAGCTAATTCTAAGTTTTGTGCCTCAACACAGTGCTAGCGAATACCACTAACGAGGGAAAGACTTTACCAACAAACCAAGGGGCACATGGAACTACCATTGTGACCAATTTCTGCAATTCCTGTTACAGAGGTTTCTGCATTGCTGGAAGAATCTTTAGAAATGTTCAGCTGCCACCTGGTTTTCCAGGATTTGATTTCACAGCCTAATAAAGGTTATTTTCTTCGTATGCGGTTGATTTGTGTTGCATGTCCATGTTGGGGCCAGGAGACGGGAAGCTGGAATGTGGAATGCATGCTGTCACGCAGCCACAGGATTAGTGTTACCCCCAGCTTTGGAACAGTCCAAGGGGGTCTCACTCTTCCTTCAGGGTAGGCCACATGGCTTCACTGCATTCTAAAACAGGATTTCGGGGGCATCAGTACTCCTGCTTCATGCCAGAAGCTCTGTTCAGCCGGTCCAGCTGAAAGAGGCTTGTGCACTCTTCAGGGATTCATGCACCTCAGCAAGTATTTACAGTGACACCCAAGCAGCCGGGTTTAAACTGGAACACAGCATAGGGAGGCTTCAGGGTAGCATCGAGAAATGAAGGTTAAAGCATGGTCCATTCTGCTACAGCCAAGCTGTTCAGGCTCTCGCTGTCTCTCAGTCTCACCTCCTTAGTGCGTTTCCCAGGGCCGAGCCCCCAACGCCCTCCACCTCACACATACCCAGTCCTTTGTTCTCCAGCGGGGGTCTGTGCCCAGCTTCCCTCCTGAGAGGTGGGGGAATCCTCCTCCCTCTGGGGCACTGGTTGCTGGGTGTCATGTCCCGGTGAGTGGGTTTTCCACTGTCTTGGATTTTTCATTGATGGGGGGGGGGGCGCATCAGTCTTTTTTTGTAAAGACCCGTTCAGGTGCAGATAAGTAGACGACATTCGTACCTACAGTTCCCAGTCTGCTCGAAGAGAAAACCACCCTTTTTCCTCCAGTGGGTACTAACACAGCACAGAGGGGCACTTGAGGCATGCAGCAGAGTCATTCCAGAGAATTCCCACTTCATCACACATGCACATTAGACAGCAGCAGGCACTGCCCTTAATGTGAGGCTGCAACCGAGGCCAGCGATTGCTTCCCATAAAAGCCGCAAACGAAGGCCGACTGGCCAAAACGTTACGGCAGGCATGAGCCGAAACTAAACTTTTCTCCCCAGAGCAGGCAAGGGGCAGAGTCAGTTTACGGGGCTAAGCTGCTTGGGCTCTAATGCACAGGCCCAGTGTTGCTCAAATGCACATTTTCAAAGTTACTATTTGTACAGCATGGTAAGGCTGCGCCAACCAGCTAAAAACAGGGTGTCATATGACTGCTGGGGGAACCCCTCTTCTTTCATTCAAAGCAGGCCTAGCAAAGCCTGTATCCTGGCATCAGGGCCATTTCCCTGAATTGAATCCCCTGCCCACCCCCGAAGCCTGACATTAATCTAACAAGGTGCAGGTGGTTAGAAAATTCTTCAACCCTAATTTGCCCAAATGGAGTCAGGTCACCGAGCCGTGCAGTGGAGGCCTCATCGGCCCCACAGAGCCCCCAGGGCTGCTCAGCGAGGCAAAGGGGGAGGTGCGCTGACGCCACGTGCCCGTCAGTCACGCCTGTCTCAGGAGAGCCGCAGGTCGTGTTTCCACATACGAACCAGGGCATTACATTAGAGCACGTGGGCCAGGGTCTGTCACCTTTACGCTGCCTCGTGGTCAAGGTCAGGGTGGCAGCATGGGGAGGGGGGGGCGTGAGAGAGACACACACACCAGAAAACCGACAGCCTGTGATCACTGGGTTTCTCCTCCACCCACACAGAAGGAAAGCTGAGAGGCCAGCGTCTCTCCTGGGGCAGTTCCAGGCGTTCAGAGGCCTGAACTCGCAATGGTCTTTTTCAACTTGTTTTGTTTCTGGTAAATTTAACCTAATTCTGCATTTCCTGCTTCTTCATATTTTTGGGTTTCGGTAGTTGGTTTGCGTTCACTAAAAGTTTTGTGTAAGTTTTTGTAGGGCTTCAGTGCCTGGTTCTCTCAACCTTAATTCATCTTAGAAAGGCTTTTCAGCTGGGACCTGGCTAACCTTCCACATCGTTAATGGCGGATTTACCAGCTGAGCTGTCAGAAGCAAGGACAGACATTTCACAGCGAGAAACAGCCAGGTCAAACTTTATTAAACTCCTGTAAATTATTTTCCCAAGCCAAAATATGAGATGGATTTGGAATACCCTTTCTTTACCAGTAAATCAATGCAGTGACTGTACTTCCATGCAAATGGCAGTGTAAACTGAAAGGAATAATCAAAGAGACAGTTACACATCAATCAGAATTCAGAGCAGTGCACTAGTACGGCTCCTAAGAGAGTCACAGAATTGTAGGCCTGGAGGTGACCTTGCAGGGTCATCTAGTCCACCCCTGCACGCATGGCAGGACTCATTATCTAGACCTGGGGTCTCAAACACGCGGCCCGCGGGGTTATTTTCTGCGGCCCGCCAGCTCCCTGTGCCTGCCTGCCCTGCCCCCGCACCGCTCCGGGAAGCGGCCAGGACCTGGGGGGGGGGGGGGGTCTGTGTGTTGCCTGCCCTGGGAGGCCCTGCCCCCGGTGCACGCCTGGCCGGACCCATCCCCCAAACCCCTTCTGCAGCCGAACCCCCTGCCCTGAGCCCCCTGCTGCACCCCACACCCCTCCTGCACCCCGACCCCCTGCCTTAAGCCCCCTGCTTCATCCCTCCTGCACCCCAACCCCCTGCCCTGAGCTGCCTGCCACAACCTGCACCCCGACCCCCTGTCCTGAGCCCCCTGACACACCCTGTACCCCTCCTGCACCCCAACCCCCTGCTGTACCCTGCACCCCTCCTGCACCCCCTGGGGGCAGGGAGGGGGCGGAGTTGGGGTGGGGATTTCAGGGAAGGGGTGGGAAGAGGCAGGGCAGGGGCGGGGACTCACAGAAGGGATGGAGTCGGGGCAGCGGTGAGGGGTGGTGGTCAGTGGTGTGGCCCTCAGGCCAATGTACTAGTCCTCATGTGGCCCTTGTGGTCATTTGAGTTTGAGACCCCCTGATGTAGACCATTCCTGAGAGGTGATTGTCTAATCTGCTCTTAAAAATCTCCAGTGATGGCGATTCCACAACCTCCCGAGGCAATTTGTTCCTGTGCTTAACCACCCTGACAGTTAGGCATAGGTATTTCCATCCTTGCTGCAATTTAAGCCTATTGCTTCCTGTCCTGTCCTCAGAGATTAAGAAGAACAATTTTTCTCCCTCCTTGTAACAACCTTTTAGGTACTATAAACTGTGATCATGTCCCCTCACAGTCTTCTCTTCTCCAGACTAACCCCACCCAATTCTTCCAATCTTCCCTCACAGCTCATGTTTTCTAGACCTTTCATCATTTTTGTTGCTCTTCACTGGATTTTCTCCAATTTGTCCACATCTTCCCTGAACTACTCCTCAATACTCCAATTGAGGCCTCGTTAGCTCTAGAGACGGCAAGTGTCATCGTGTCCCTTTTACAGGTGGAGAAAACGATTCCCTGAATGGCTTCGGATTTAACTGACAGATTGGTATGATTTTAAACTAATAATATTAACATCTGTACAACTTTTATCTATATATGCTGCAAACTAGCTCCTAGTTCAACCATCCCACAAGGAAAGCCGAGGAACCACAAACTAATATAAAAGCGGATAAATTTGTTCAGCATAGTCTGTCTTCAGTGATAACACAAGGCTCTTGAATGCTCTGTACTTACTTCCACCCATCTAAGTAGCTTTTCATGAACAGGTCCATCATCGTTAAAAGGGTTTGTGTTCAAGACATCAGCAACAAACTCCCTTGGTGTGATCTGTTGGGTCTAATGAAATAAAAGGTTTGTCTCAGTCGTACTCTTACCTGGTCCTGCCAATGAGCCTCGGGCTTATTCGTGTGCAGAGCTGCATCCAGACCGGGTAGCCCCCAGTAATACTGATGTATACAGGACCGGGAGAGAAAACGCATTGCTCCCAGAGTGGCAGATCTGCTACATTCTTAGATCTGACTTGCGAGAAGCAACTCGGCTTCCACAGTCTGACAGGAAACACTTTTTAAACACTGGCCATTGAAAAGAAGCTGCTTCCAACCCAGCTCCCAGAGCCGCACAGACTGCAGGAAAGTGCAGGAGGCAGGTGGTCGCTCTTTGCTCACCCCAGCCCTAGCTGACATGGTTCACTCAGTGATATAAGAAACAGACAGGTACGAGTAACAGATTTACTCACGATGACGTGTCCAGCCACAGACACCTGGCCAGCCCACAGCGAACCCTCATGTCTAGAGGTGGAGCTATGCGACCGCCTCTCACCAGGGCCTGCCTTGACCAGCAAGGTGTGGTAGCCTAGGGCTAGAGCCACAGAGAGACTTCGTCTCCTTGCCATGCAGTGTTATTCCCAGACTCCCTACAATGCACATGGGGAGAGTGAGGTGCCTAAGGGTCTGTCTACACTGCAATTAGACACCCGCGGCTGGCCCACGCCAGCTGACTCAGGCTAAGGGGCTGTTTAATTGCAGTGTAGACTTTTGGGCTGGGGCATAGCCCAAGCCCTGGGACCATCCCACCTTGTAGGGTCCTAGACCCCGGGCTCCAGCCTGGGCCTGAAGGGCTACACTGCAATTAAACAGCCCCGCAGCCCAAGCGTGGGCCAGCTGCGGGTGAATAACTGCAGGGTTAAACATATCCTACGAAAGCAATTCACTAAGCCAGCTCACTGAGCAGGAATCCTAACCCCTCTGCCCCTTAAAGGTAGCTGGGCATCTCCCTCCACAGGATTCATTGCCGAGCCCGCCCCTGGAGTCAGAGACCCGCATCCACCACACAGCCCATTGCAGCCAGTAGCCCAGTGAGCAGGGCACTCAGCAGGCATGGAGAAGCCCATGTTCAAATCCCTGCACTGGTGCTGGGACTTGACTTTAGGTCTCTCACACCCCAGCCACGTGCCCTGCCCACCAGGCTACAGCGTCACCCTCACTCTGGCCCACCCACTAGTTAATTATTTATACAAAGTGGAATGGCTTCAATAGGAGAGCACCAAAGCCTCAGGTGCAGAGCATGCATCTGGGAGGCGGGGCATGTGGCTGCCAGTCACTGCTCTAACACAGTCAGAGCAGGAAGTTGAAAACCGATCATAGCTGCGGGCCCTAACCATTGCACTGGTGAGTATTCTGGGCCATACAGCTGCCCCCAAAGTCCCAATGT